TTCTGAACTACTCTAATTTTAATAACTTGATCTCTAGTCCCATCACACAACTTGGTATCTCCCTTCACCATAGCCCTGGGAATTCCTTTTGTCCCTTTTTTGTGCTGGATCCTATTTCTTGGATTTCATGGATTTCTCTTTTTTGACATACTTTTTTTGTCTTAGTGTAATAAATCCTCTCTTATCTTTCTGAAAAAGAACACACAGAGTATCAATATTTTGAGAATGTGCATATCTGAAATATTTTTTGTTATGGACTCACAATTAAATCATAGTTTGGCTGAGTGTAGAATTCTAGATTGGGAATAATTTCCCTTGAAAATTTGAAGGCATTTCCTATGGTCTTCTAACTCTCAATGTTGTTGAGTTGCTAATCCTAACGCTACTTTGATTTTTGATTAGTGTATGCAACTTGTTCTTTCTCTCTGGAAGATTTTAGAATTGCATCTCTGCGTCCAGTGTTCTGAAATGCTGTAATAATGTGCTTTGGTGTGGGTTTGGTTTTTTGTGCTGGATATTTAGTGTGATCTTTGAATTTGGAGGCTCAGTTCTTCAGTTCAGGGTAATACTTTTAAATAAAATTCCTTAATTTATGAAGATTAATTTAATTGATTATTTCTCCCCTTCTGAGCCTCTATTCCCTTTCTGGAAATCCTACTTAGATGTTCAATCTTCTGGACTGATCCTTTAATTTTTATCAATTTTCTCCTAAATTAGAACAAATTTGATCTTCTTCAACTTTATCTTGCAGTCTTTCTATAGAATTTTTATTTCTGCTATTATGGTTTTTATTTCCAAGAGCTTTTTTTGCTTATCCAAATAGTTACTCTCAAATGGTTTCCTATTGTCATTTTATGGATGCACTATAATATGTCTCTGAGAATACTGATGATTGATGTTTTAAAAATTTGGTTTATTTTTAGATTTTTTTCTTTCTTTTTTTGAGACAGAGTCTCACTCTCTTCCCCCGGCCAGAGTGCCGTGTTGTCAGCCTAGCTCACAGCAACCTCAAACTCCTGGGCTCAAGCAATCCTTCTGACTCAGCCTCCCAAGTAGCTGGGACTACAGGCATGCGCCACCATGCCCAGCTAATTTTTTGTATATATTTTTAGTTGGCCAATTACTTTCTATTTTTAGTAGAGACAGGTCTCTCTCTTCCTCAGATTGGTTTCAATTTCCTGACCTTGAGGGATCTGCCTTGGCCTCCCAGAGTGCTAGGATTACAGGTGTGAGCCACTGCGCCTGGCCTCCCTTGCAATTTCCATTTCATCTAATGTGTTTTTTTCCTTCTTGCTTGTTTTGTTTTCTTTCTTGTATACTAAAGACTTAACTGTCTAGTGATCCTTGGCTGTCTGCTTATATTTAAGCGTGTAGACATTAAAAAGCTGATTGTTCTCCAAAAAAAAAAAAAGGGGGCTAAAAAAAAGGAAGAAAGAAGGAAATGAAAAGAAAAAGCTGATTGGAAAGTGGGGGTGAGGATTGGGGTATGTAGGCCAAAGGCTTAAGTGTAGAATTCATTCTACTTGTCTTTCTCATTAAGAGAACCTTAATGAGATTATGTTGGGGACTTTTCTTTTGGCCAGTGAGATTCCCTTGAGAAGGCTTTCCAAAGGTATAGTCATGCTCTTATTTACTTTTGTTTTGGAATCAATTTTCTCAGGTTTGCTAAAACAGATACCATTCTTCCGATTGATATCCAGATTCCAAAATGTTGCTATTGTCTTCTTTCCCTTTCTTAGGGCTTGCAGAACAATACACGCATTCGCTCTCACCATCTTTAACTGGAAGCCCCAGCAAAGACGGGGTCTTGCTATGTTGCTCAGGTTGGGCTTGAACTCCTGGGATCAAGAGATCCTTCCACTTTAGCCATCCGCAGCCACAGCCCCCGGCTGCCCCCATTATTTCTTTAGGATAATTTTACTGGAAGACAACTGCCGGGTCATAAAGGAAGATTTTTGACATAGATTATCTGATTACCCTAAAGTAGTATGTATATATGAAAAGAAGTAAGCTTTTGTGTAATTGTTTTGCAGCAAGTATTAACTAACGTCCAGGGTTACTGCACACGCCCAGCCATCTGCCTCAATACTCCGCCTGGCAGGGGGCGGGATAGAAAGCAAGCAACATCTGAAAAAGTAATGCGATGACCGGGACACCTGAGCTAAGGCAGAGAAAAGCTTCTTAAACCAGCCCTGACCATAGACCATACCTCTAGGCAATTGGGGAGGATGGGAGGTGGGGGTGGTGGTGTTTGATCTCGTCGATGATTGGTTGGTCTCTCTGACCAATCACGCGCAGCTATTGGTTTTGCTTATCCTCGTGATCCACCTCCCCGGGGGTTTGGGGGCCGCGTTTACAAATGGGAATAGAGTACGTGGGAGGGATAGAATGTATAGCCAATGAAATCTTGTGGCGCTAATGGGCGGGGTGAGGCCGCTGCCAGGTTTAGGGCGGAAGGAGCTTCTGTGGCTAAGAAGGGGAACGTAAGATGGCGGCGGAAACGCTGCTGTCCAGTCTGTTGGGGCTGCTGCTTCTGGGGCTTCTGTTACCCACAAGTCTGACTAGCGGCGTCGGGAGCTTGAACCTAGAGGAGCTGAGCGAGATGCGTTATGGGATCGAGATCCTGCCGTTGCCTGTCCTGGGAGGGCAGGTGAGGAGGCGTTTAAAGGACGATGGTCTAGGGCAGAAGAGGAAGGGGGTAAGAGACAGAGGAAGAAAGGCAGCTAGGGAGGCGGAGTGTGGGGCGAGAGCTTGGGGGAAATCGGGGAGAGTAGGTAGGAGTGGGCAGGCCTTTTACGGCGACTCCTGGGGATCGCAGACTGAGACCCATTCCCTGGGGGTCAAGAACTGGGAGGGGTGGGGCTTCCCGCTGTCAGCCTCCAGGTCCCAGTTCACGATCGAAACACCCAGCCTCCGCCCCCGTGGAGAAGTGGGAGCGCTCGCTCCCTTCACCCACCAATTACAGCTGGAGGACTTGTGGCTCATTCTGTCTTCGACTGGGCTCCTCCCCAGGGTCTGAAGAGGGATTTCGTTGTTCTCCTTGATCCCAGCCTTTCTTTGCCTCCCTGCTCCCCGACCCTCCCTTCTTTACCAGAGCCAAGCTTCAGACGTGGTGATTGTCTCCTCTAAGTACAAACAGCGCTATGAGTGTCGCCTGCCAGCTGGAGCCATTCATTTCCAGCGTGAAAGGGAGGAGGAGGCACCTGCTTACCAAGGGCCTGGGATCCCTGAGCTGTTGAGCCCAATGAGAGATGCTCCCTGCCTGCTGAAGGTGAAAGGGACTGGGATGGATGGAATGAGGGATTGGGATGTAGCAGCCCATTTGAGAACCAGAGTGTTGGTGAATGAGGTGGAATCCAGGGGACCTGTAGGAGTTAAAAAGGCCATTGGAGGAGTAGGAAGATTATACAGACAAGAAAGAAGCAAAGAATCTTTTTTTTTTGAGACAGAGTCTCACTTTGTTGCCCAGGCTAGATTGAGTGCCGTGGCGTCAGCCTGGCTCACAGCAACCTTAATCTCCGGGGCTCAGCGATCCTACTGCCTCAGTCTCCCGAGTAGCTGGGACTACAGGCATGCGCCACCATGCCCGGCTAATTTTTTGTATATATATTTTTAGTTGGTCAATTAATTTATTTCTATTTTTGGTAGAGACGGGGTCTCGCTCAGGCTGGTTTGAACTCCTGACCTTGAGCAATCCGCCCGCCTTGGCCTCCCAAAGCGGTAGGATTACAGGCGTGAGCCACCACGCCCGGCCTAGAAGCAAAGAATCTTGTAGTCACTGATGACATTTTCCTGAATGAGGTGGAGGGAAGGTTAGGATAGAAGATCTCAGAAAATGGTGAAAGCAAGATGGAGATGCTTAAAGATGATCAATGTGTAGTAGGAGTGGTACTTTCCTTAAAGATGCCTACCTGGTAAAGTCAGTTTCCCATCACTCTCTGCCCCAGTATCCTATTTTCATTATGGCACTTTTCATGATCTGAAATAATCTTATTAACTAAATCAGTTTGTTTATTTTTGGTCTGAATCCCAGCACCAGAATGTAAGCTCCATGAGGTCAGAGAGTTTATCTTGTTCACAGCTGTATTACCAGGAGAACAGTGCAAGGAATATTGTAGAAATTCAATTAATATTTGATTTGGGAGCCTTCTGTGTTTCCCCGATACATGTACTTTAAGGTTACCATGATTTCTTATCTTTATGGAGGGCAAAGAAGGACCAAAATAATCTTGAGGAGGAATGGAAAGATCACAGGCGGAAAACAGATGTTAGAGTATCTCTCTGAGTCACAGAAGGAAAACAGCTCTCCCTCCTCATTGGGAGTGTGGAGAATTGAGTGTGGAAGTGGAGAGAGATGAGCAGTAGATGAGAGGTTATATGTCTTGGAGCCAGGAGACCCTGGTTCCAAGAAGAGACATCTGCACTCCATCCTCCTGATTGCTTGTTTTTTAATTGTCAGACCAAGGACTGGTGGACATATGAATTCTGTTATGGACGCCACATCCAGCAGTACCACATGGAAGGTGACTCACTCCCATATTTTCCCTAAGCCCTCAGCATCATATCATGGAAGGTGATCTCCCTGCCCAGTCCCCCTCATCCCCTTAAATGACAGTAATTGTGTTTTACCATGCCTTCTCTTGCAGATTCAGAGATCAAAGGTGAAGTCCTCTATCTCGGCTACTACCAATCAGCCTTCAACTGGGATGATGAAACAGCCAAGGTGGCAGGAGTGTGGGATTGGGAGAGAAAGGGGTCCTGCCTGTAGATTGAGAGCCCTGACAAGAAGGGGAGGGGCAGGATTAGCTGATGTGTTTCGTGGGGTTTGGTGGTGATTAGGACAAAGTCCCCTGGGATCTGGATTCCCTGTGCCTGTGGAGATGCAGTTCCATTCTTCCACCTTGGTGTCTTTCTCATGCCTCTTCTTCCTGACATCTTCTCCAGGCCTCCAAGCAGCATCGCCTGAAACGCTACCACAGCCAGAACTACGGCAATGGGTCCAAGTGTGACCTCAATGGGAGGCCCCGGGAGGCTGAGGTTCGGGTGAGTCTTGAGAGAGGGAAATTCACACTCTCTTAGTGACAATTCAGATTCTAAGGGAAGAACACAGGTTTGCATCTTACAGTCAGGAGAGTCTATCCCAAACTCTAACCCCCAAATTTAAAGCATATTTCCAGCTACCAGATAGATGTCATTGCCTGGATATTCAGAGGCACTTCAAGGCAACATTTCCCAGATCCTGCCCCCATACCTCCAACCACACTTAACCTTTTTTCCACATTTCTTCTTCTGTCACCTAAGGTATCGATACAAACCTGAGTATCATTCTTGTCTCCTCCTTTTCCTTCACACTGTGCCTCCTTTCTTCATTTAACAACTCTTCAGTGAAGTTTTACTATATATGCAGGCATTGAGGTGTTGGGCTCAGCTTTGGAGATACAGTGGTGAGCAAATATGCAGCCCCTGTCTTCACAGACTGCATAGTCTAGAGGGGAAGACAGATGTTAACAGAAGAATCGCAGAGTCTATGATTACAAACTAGGAAGTGAGATGAAGGAAAGGAATCTAGCTTTTTTAGAGTAAATAACAAAGCCAATTCTCTCTACTTCTAGATAATCTTTCAAAATTCTCCTGTGCTTTCCTGTGGTTAGTACCTTCATCTCTCACCTTTTTTTTTTTTTTTTTTTGAGATAGTGTCTCACTCTGTCACCTAGTCTAGAGTGTAGAGGCACAGTCATAGCTCACTGTAACCTTGAACTCCTGGGCCCAAGCAATCCTCCTTCCTTAGCCTCCTAAGTAGCTGGGACTCCAGGCATCTGCCACCACACCCAGCTAACTTTAAAAAAAAATATTTTTTTTGTAGAGACTGGGTATCACTATGTTGCCCAGGTTGGTCTCTAAATCCTAGGCTCAGGCCGGGCGTGGTGGCTCACGCCTGTAATCCTAGCTCTCTGGGAGGCCGAGGCGGGCGGATTACTCGAGGTCAGGAGTTCAAAACCAGCCTGAGCAAGAGCGAGACCCCGTCTCTACTATAAACAAAAAGAAATTAATTGGCTAACTAATATATATATATATATAAAATTAGCCGGGCATGGTGGCGCATGCCTGTAGTCCCAGCTACTTGGGCGGCTGAGGCAGAAGGATTGCTTGAGCCAGGAGATTGAGGTTGCTGTGAGCTAGGCTGACGCCATGGCACTCACTCTAGCCTAGGCAACAGAGCGAGACTCTGTCTCAAAAAAAAAAAAATTAAAAAAAAAAAATAAATCCTAGGCTCAAACAGTCCTCCCACTTTGGCCTCCCAAAGTACCCAACAGCCTCTTTGTTATTTTTATTTATTTATTTATTTATTTATTTAAACTTGGGCAGCACTCAGCACCAGTGAAGGTTCAGAGGGCTCCACCCCAACAGCCTCTTAACAAATGTTCCTCGTCTAGTGGTCTCTAGCTGAGGTGAGGCAGGCAGTTAGGAAGATATATGTGTATATATGTATGTATAGTGGGAAAAGGTCCTCACATGATTCTAATGTATTCACAAATATACACACCTGTAGAGAACCATGTAACCACATGATACCTACCAGAGTTTTCTTTTCTTTTTTGTCAACCATGGAAGATACAGAGTTATCTTTTCATAATACAGATTTGCACATGCAGTTGTGTTGAGCACCCAGATCTCTGAGGGGCGGGAGGGGAGAGCCCTGATTTTGTAATATTTGCCAATATCTGTGGTATAATATTCCCACCATGTCCAAATCCATCTAACGATGTGATGTGAACCATCTTGCAACATTTCTCAAAATTTACCAGTTGGTTCCAACATACCTGTAAGCATGTGTCCCCACTTCTCTGACCAATTCTGGAAAACCTTCAATGATTCTGCCTTGCACAAAGGATAAGATCCAAATGTTTCAGCACAGACCAGGGTGGTGGCAGTAGAGGTGATAGAAACGACTGGATTCTGGATATATTTTGAAAATAGAGCCAATGAGATTTGTTGATAGATTGGATATGGGATAGAATTAAGGATGACTCCAAGCTTTTGGCTTGAGCAACTGGAGCAATAGAATTGTTATTTACTAAAGTGTGAAGGAGCATATTTGGGGGAGGAAATGAGATTGGTTTTGGATATATGTAGGTTCAGATGCCTATTAGACATCCTAGTGGTGATGTCCAGTTGACTCTGTGATTCTGGAGTTCAGGGACAAGGTCTGGGATGGAGACATAAATACTCATTGTCTTTCTGCCACACTGGCCGCCTTTCTGTCTTTGAACCAGTGGGTCTCATTGTTTCTTCTGCCTGGAGCAGTCTTCCCAAAGATTGTTGAATGGTTGGCTCTGTCCCCTCATTCAGGTTATATTTAAATGATACCTCCATGGCTGGGCGTGGTGGCTCACGCCTGTAATCCTAGCACTCTTCGAGGCTGAGGCTGGCGGATTGCTCAAGGTCAGGTGTTTGAAATCAGCCTGAGCAAGAGAGAGACCCCGTCTCTACTAAAAATAGAAATAAATTAATTGGCCACACTATAATAGAGAAAAATTAGCCTGGCATGGTGGTATGCCTGTAGCCCAGATACTGGGGAGGCTGAGGCAGAAGAGATTGACTGAGCTCAGAGTTTGAGGTGCCTGTGAGCTAGGCGACCCAGGGCATTCACTCTAGCCCGGCAACACAGTGAAACTTGTCTCAAAAAAAAATGACGCCAGGCGGGGTGGCCTCAATGCCTGTAATCCTAGCTCTCTGGAGGCCGAGGCGAGTGGTTGCTCAGGTCAGGAGTTTGAAATAGCCTGAGCAAGAGCAAGACCATCTCTTACTATAAATAGAAGAAATTAATTGGACAACTAATATTTATAGAAAAAAAAAAAACAAACCAGCTGGGCATGGTGGCGCATGCCTGTAGTCCCAGCACTCAGAGTTGAGCAGGAGATAGCTTTAGGCCAAAGTTTGAGGTGCTGTGAGCTAGGTTGATGCCACGGCACTCACTCTAGCCTGGCCAACAATTGAGACTCTTCTCAAAAAAAAAAAAAAAAAAAGATACCTCCACAGGGAACCTAACATAAGCAAACAGACAAAGACACCAGACACAACCCCTTTACTGCTCCTGTCCTGGTTAACATCTACAGTGTTTTATAGTTTTCAAAGCATGTATCATCTGAAATTATTTTATTTGTTTTAGTTTAATATTGGTCTCTGCTCCCACTTACATAAGCTTCAGGAAGGCAGGGATAGCACGTTTTGTTTTCTGCTGTATCCTCAGTGCCTGGCACCAAACAGGTGCCCAAAAATTATTCATTGAATGAATGGAATGAGTGATAAGTTGGTTCAAATGTCAACTTTCCTGTAAAAAAGGATTAAAAAAAGAAAAAGAAAAAAATCACCTTTCTTGACTAACCCATAAAATTAGTTTCATTCCTTCAGCACTTCATGTACATGTAGCCACATATACCCACAAGCATCCATGCACGTATATACTCTGTTAAAGCACTTATTTCATTGTATTCTCATTGTTTCTTTAGATGTTTGTACCTTCAGTAGGCCAAGAACTGAGGGCAAAGACTGCATATCTTTCTCATATCTGTTGAACATATGCCCTATGTCAAGCACTGTAATAGAACTGGGGATAAAATGGTACTGAGAGACCTAGTTCTGCTCTCAAGAGACAGATGTTAAATAAACAGTCACAACAAGCAGGATGAATATGATGACAGATGAAGTACAGACTGTAGAGGAACACACAGTAAAGGAACTAACTGAATCTAGGGTAAAGGGCAGGCCTCCTGGGAAAAGTGATATTTGAACTGACAATTGGAGGATAAGGGTGTAGAGGGGTGGGAGAGGGGAAGAAGAGGGCATTCCAGGTGGAAGGTTCAGTGAGTACAAAAGGCCTTGGAGGCAAGAGGCCATATCTATCCCAGGACCTGATGGTCACAGGGACTGGAGGGGGTAATCGTGAGAAGGGGAGTGTGGGAGATGAGGCTGGGCAGTTTTGGGGAGACAGGTCACAGGTAATGAAGGGCTAACTTTTCTATTTTTTGTAGAGATGGGGTCTTACTTTTGCTCAGGCTGGTCTTGAATTCCTTGGCATCCCAGAATACTAGGAATTGGGTTGTTGAGTTTGGGAGTCCTTTATATAATATATTCTGGATATTAATCCCTTAACAGATATATGATTTATAAATATTCTCTCCTATTCATTAGTTGCCTTTTCACTCTCCTTGATAGTATCCTTTGATGGACAAGGTTGTTAATTTTGATTTAATTGCTTGCAATTTTTGTGTCATACTTAAGAAATCATTGCCAGGCTGGGTGCAGTGGCTCACGCCTGTAATCCTAGCTCTCTGGGAGGCCGAGGCGGGCAGATTGCTCAAGGTCAGGAGTTCGAAACCAGCCTAAGCAAGAGCAAGACCCTGTCTCTACTATAATACTAAAGAAATTAATTGGCCCAACTAATATATACTACGAAAAATCTAGCATGGTGCACATGCCTGTAGGGCCAGCTACTTGGGAGGCTGAGCAGTAGGATTGCTTGAGCCCAGGAGTTTTGAGTGCTGTGAGGCTAGGCTGATGCCACGGCACTCGACTCTAGCCTGGGCAACAAAGCCGAGACTCCAGTCAAAAGAAGAAAGAAAAGAAACAAAAGAAAGAAAGAAACAGAAAGAAAAGAAAAGAAAGAAAGAAAGAAGAAAGAGGGACGGAGGCAAGGAGAGACCGGACGGAAGGAGGACGGAGGCAGAGGGATCGGAGGAGACGAGTGGACGGCCGACCGGCACCGGAGGAGAGAGAGGGAGGGACGCGAACTGGACGAGGAGAACGGGAGGGACAGGGAAGCAGACGAGAGGGACGGAGGGGACAGAGAGAGCCGAGAGGGAGACCGAGGGACACGCAGAGAGATGCAGAAGACGAAACTGCCTAATCCAAGGTCATGAATATTTTCACCTATATTTTCTTCTAAGAGTTTTATAGTTTTAGGTTAAATTTAGTTGTTTGATACATTTTGAGTTAATTTTTTTATATGGTATCATTTTTGTTATGGTCCAGCTTCATTCTTTTGCATGTGGATATCCAGTTTTCCTAGCACCATTTGTTGAAAAAGACTGTCCTTTCCCCATTGAATTTTCTTGATATCCTTATCAAAAATCAATTGACCATATATGTGAGAGTTTATTTCTGACCTGTTATATTCCATTAGTCTATATGTCTATCCTTATGCCACCTGATTATAATAGCTTTGTATTAAGTTTTGAAATTAGGAAGTATGAGTACTCTACTCTGTTCTTCTCTTCTTAAGATTGTTTTGGCTGTTTGGAATCCCTTGAGATTCCATGTGAATTTTAGGACTTTTAAAAAATTTTTCTATAAAAAACACCATTGGAATTTTGACAGGGATTGCATTGAATCTGTAGATCATGTTGTATAGTATTGTCATCTTAATATTAAGCTTTTCAATCCATGATCACAGGATGTTTCCATTTATTTATGTTGTCTTTAATTCTTTCAGCAATGTAGTTTTCAATATACAAGTTTTCACCTCCTTGGTTAAATTTACACTATGTATTTTATTGTTTCTGATGTTATTGTAAATGAAAGGAAATTTAATTTCCTTTTTGGATTATTCATTGCAACTGTATAGAAACACAACTGATTTTTGTTGTTGGTTTTATATCTTGCAAGTTTGCCAAATTTGTTTATTAACTCTAATAATTTTGTGTGTTCTTTGGATTTTCTGTGTATAAGATCAGATCATCTGGGAACAGAGATAATTTTACTTCTTCCTTCCCAATTTGGATGCCTTTTATTTCTTTTCTTAGATAATTGCTCTGGCTAGAACTTCCAGTACTGTGTTGAATGAAGTGGTAAAGAGTGGGCATCCTTGTCTTGTTTCTGATCTTATGCAAACGTTTTCAGTGTTTCACCACTGAGTATGATGTTAGCTGTGAGTTTTTCTTGTTTCTGTTTTTTCTTTTGAGACAGAGTCTCACTGTGTTGCCCGGGCTAGAGTGTCATGGTGTCAGCTTAGCTCACAGCAACTTCAAAGTCCTGGGCTCAAGCGATTCTTCTGCCTCAGCCTCCCGAATAGCTGGGATTACAGGCATGCACCACCATGCCTGGCTAATTTTTGTTTTGTATATATATTTTTAGTTGGCCAATTAATTTCTTTCTAGTTTTAGTAGAGACAAGGTCTCACTGTTGCTCAGGCTGGCTTCGAACTCTTGACCTTGAGCGATCCACCTGCCTCAGCCTCCCAGAGTGCTAGGATTACAGGCGTGAGCGACCACGTTGGGCCTGTGGGTTTTTCTTTTTTTTTGAGACAGAGTCTCACTTTGTTGCCTAGGCTAGAGTGAGTGCCATGGCGTCAGCCTAGCTCACAGCAACCTCAAACTCCTGGCTCAAGCAATCCTTCTGCCTCAGCCTCCCAAGTAGCTGGGACTACAGGCATGCGCCACCATGCCCGGCTAATTTTTTTCTATATATATTAGTTGGCCAATTAATTTCTTTCTATTTATAGTAGAGACGGGGTCTCGCTCTTGCTCAGGCTGGTTTCGAACTCCTGACCTCTAGCAATCTGCCCGCCTCGGCCTCCCAGAGAGCTAGGATTACAGGCTTGAGCCACCGCGCCCGGCCTGGGTTTTTCTTATATGGAGTTTTATCAATAGTTGAAGATATTCCCTCCTATTCCTAGTTGATTGAGTATTTCTTACAGGAAAAGGGTGTTGAATTTTATCAAATGCATTTTCTGTGCTAATTGAGATGATGATATGATTTTTTTCTTTTATTCTATTAATATGATGTATTACATAGATCGGTTTACCTATATTGAACTATCCTTGCATTCTTCGAATAAATCTAACATAAATCATGATGTATAATGCTTTTAATAAGCTGCTGAATTTGGTGTGCTGCTATTTAGTTGAGAAATTTTGCTTCTGTATTCATAAACTCCTTTCTCCATCACAGCTCATTGCAGCCTTAACCTCCTGAGCTCAGGTGATCCACCTAC